AGCACACTGTCAGCTTTTACTTTCCCACAAAAACTTCTTTTTTTCCATGAAACAGTTGTGCATACAGTGAGCAACTTAGGGACAAGTCAACTAAAAGTATGACGAACAATACCTAATGACTCATGGAATACATTAAATTGCTGCCTAAGAGTATACAGGAGACAGCACTCTCGAGCACTGTTACTAACAATCGACGTAAGCTTTATCTTCGACGCTTGCGGAAGGAAGGGGAGCATGGTGGTAGCATGCTGCTATAGACGTGCTGTTCTAAAGATAAATAGATAAATATTTGTAGAGTTGCGAAAAGGTTGTGCTGGTCTCTGCCAATAACAACCTCATATAGGGGTAAAATCGTTAAATGTATGCTTGTCTGTGTGCTCTTCAGAGACCATCGCTTGTCATTTGGCAAATTTTTGAAAGATACCTATTTTTTATAGTATTTTTTCCAAAGAATGGTTTGAAGCTTCGATTTAAACTCCAAAGCCGTTCTCTAAAGCTACTACTCTTTATTGAAGAAAATGTAACTTTATAGATAGTGCTTGCAATTTACTTTTATTTTACTAGAATTTATCAGAATAAGGCTTTCTATTTCTATGAATTTAAAACATTTTCTCTAGGTCTTTTTCTAATGTTGAAAGCGTTCAAAATGTCTGCGAAATACTGATATAAAAAATAAAAGTCATTAACGCATTAAATGCAGAACTTGATGATTGATATATGCAGAACGTTACACTTTGTGAGACCTCTATCTGTTAGAACACCGGTGAAGTGTAAACCTTACATCTGGCATTAACCGTGTCAATCTAAGTTAAAGGATGAAAATTAATCACATTCAAAACTTTGCGAAATAAGGAAATCTGACTATTAAATCGACAAGTTTGTCTGCTACTTCCAGATTTGACAGTTCCCTTATTAATTCTGTATTTCACCGGAAGTAATGCATTGATTAATAGATGAAGTTCAACTTTCAAATTTGTAGTGTTAATCCAGTCCCGTTAATAACAAACAAGTCTACATATTTAGGTGCTTGAATAAATCGATTCGCGACAGGAATATTCCGAGCAAATACTTTTTTTGCTGGGTCACTGTTCAATTTGCCTGGGATTATTAATATCAAACTGCTTCAAAATGTGAATTTCCTGAAAGAGACCTCTACACCAGAAGTAGCCTTTCGCAACAACACTCGTTTTGC